GGCGGGGGACGCCCCCGCGCAGCTGAGCGGTCGGTCGCGGTTGACCAGCCGACCGGCCCGATAGGACCTGGCGCCGAGGGAGACGTGAGCTGTGGAGACGCGGAGGAGCGAGGCGCCGCGGCCTGAGGTGAGGAGGGACCGTGGCCGAGAAAAAGGCCGCGTTGCGGGAGGGTGAGGCTTGGTCAGGGCGGGCGTGCCGTGGGACCTGGCACTCGTGGAGGCCGCCCTTCTCCGTGAGAGGGGCGTCCTGACTTGTAAGCCCCAGCCTGGAAATCCCCACATTCCTTCTCCCTAGTCCCACACCTCCGAATTTGATTTCCTCAACTTTGTCACCTAGCTTTCTCAACGCTAACCACAAGCCCTACCTTCAACACACCACACACACACACACACGCACTCTCCTTCCCTCAATCTTCCTTTTGAAGCCCCCGCCCCCAAATTTACTTCTGGATTATACCCCAGTTTGGTTACCGAATCCCCACTTTTTTCTTCCCAATCCCCTTTCCATTTCCCCTTAAATGACACTAACTGGGCACTTAACTCTTCATTTTCTACCCAGAGGTTAATTTCTCTTCCCCCAAAACCATCTTTTCATCCTTAAATTTAACGTTTCAATACTGCTGAAAGTTCACCATACTTATAGAAACATTCTTAATGTCTCTTCTTTTTTTGCTGTCTTATATGCATCGGTCCTAATGAATCCCACATGCCGCTGTATCCTAAAGGCACCAAAGTCCAAGTTTTTTAAATTTAACCCCCTCCTCTAATATTAAAGGTTTTTCCAAGCAACAAGGTTCTGTTTTGCAGAGATGAACAGCATTTTATTCATAAACCTAAACTGAAAACATATCACAGATTAAAAATTAGACTTGCTATTTTTGTTCTTTTTTTTTCCCTTCAGAAGGAAACTCATTTCGGTTTAATGCTTTAAGGTAATTATTAGAATGCTAGGATGAATATTCTAAAAGATTGGCGTATTTGGTTTAGTCAGTGCTGTAAACGCTTTAAACTGATTGCCGACTTCGAGTTGGAACTACTCTTAATTTGAAATTACTGACTCAGATCATCATCTGGGCTGTTCGCCATTATTTCGATTTCTTAAATTCATGTTTATTCCTATTTGGAAGGGTTTTGGAACTATAAGATGGAATACTACGTTTATAGAACCAACTTGGATATTTAAATTGTGCTTTCCAGGTGTTTCTTTTGGAGGATAATTTTGAACACTTGTTTTTAATCACAAGTGGAAGAAAACAATTACAGGATAGAGAAAGTGTAAGAAAAGTAGGATAAAGTTTGTAATGGAATTTTTCCTTCAAGTCTGCATTGATAAAAACATACTTGTTTAATTTTCTCATAGGTAATTTAGAATATTATAAATACTGCTGCTAGCTACTTTAATGCATTTTCTTATGCAATGAAAAGTGTGTTCGGTCTTCTCATTTTTATTTATAAATTGCAGTGTTTTCAATTTATTTAAAAATTTTCTCAAGGGCATTTGCTGTTCAGTTTAATATGAAGGTGAATGCCAGTTATTATATACCTGTGAAGTAAAGTTAAGATACCTACCTATTCTAGAGAAGAAAACTGAGGCTCATTGTCCCTGTGAAACCTAGATCCGTGAAACCCAAACCCTATACTCATATTTTGTCATGCTGACACATTTCTCATAGAGGATGCACTACTACAGTTTGGTTTGGGAGCTGGTGGTCTCTTCATAACTCCTCTACAGGGAGAATTTTTTCCCCTAGAAAAGCTGTTTCAGAGTCTCTCATTTAAATGGGAGTCAGAATTCGGTGACTCTAATTAATACATTTGCAGCTTGGCTCCTAGAAAAGCATGGAATGTTTTCACAACCTTCTCCATTTCTTTGATTGCAAAGGCAGTTTGATCAGAATTGAAGTTTTTACTGACCTTTATTTCACAAAACAAATAATAAGCACTTACTGCTGGTTATAGAAATTCACAAAGATGCATGAGATGTCATCAGAACCTTCAAAGAGTTTACGGAAAATTGGGTTGACAAATGTGAAAATTACAAAAATAAAAGACAGTTTTAATTAAATGCAGAGTGATGCAGAAGATACTATAGATATTTAAATTAGGGAGTGATCATTTAAGCTTTGAAATAATCAAAAGATTTACCAGAGATCTGCCTTGAAAACCTGGGTAAGATTTGGATGAAGGGAGCCATTCCAAATAGAAGTCTATGGGAGTAGGGCTAGAAATAATCACAGTATATTAATTATAATAGCCGATACGTATGTAATGCTTGTTTTGTGCCAGTCACTGTACTGAGTATTTATGCCAGTATTTGTGCCAGTCACTATACTGAGTATTAAATGAATGTATTAATTCATTTAATCCTCATAACCTTATGGGGTAGATGTTGTTATCCTCCTTTTACAAAGAGGGAAACCAAGGCACCGATAGGTTAACTTGCCAGTGCCACATAGCTAATGGTAGATCCAAAATTCATACCTAGGTAGCCTGGCTTCAGACTCAGTTCTTAACCATGATACATAATATACTGCCTCTTTATTTAGTATTCTTGAGTGACAGTGACTAGAATAATATCGCCATACTAGAAGGTCTTAAAAAACCCACTCTTAATTGTCCATAATGAACCTCGAAATATGTTAGTCTGAGGATATCAAGACACATAAACAAGTAATTACAGTACAGCTTTATGAATCCTATTAGCGAACTATGTACATTGGGAGCAAAGATGTTTGTAATAGTGGGAGGAAATTCCACAGAGAAGATGATGTTTCATGTGAGTTATAAACAGTGCAAAGCCGAGTCCAGGAAAAGATTCTAGAAGCAGGGAATAGCAGTTTGTAGAAGCACAAATTCTGAAATACCAAAGTGTGTTAGAGAAAGTGTAGTAGTTTGCTGTGGCTTGAGCTTGGACTCAGTAAGGGTAGCTAGTAGAGAATGATCAAAGGTAATACCAAATCATGAATGGCATGGCGAGGTCAAGTAAAATGAGGAGCTTAAATATTCGCTTTGCATTTGGGAAACACAAAAATAATTTCCACATGATTGTAGTAGAAACCAGATTGCTTGCTACTTTGTCTAGAAGTATAGCAGTGGGGCAGCTTGAGGGAAAAGCCTGAGTAGAGGTTGGTTGGTTTGTTTGTTTATTTGTTTTTAGAATAAACTTTAAATATTGGAGTAGAGAAATTGGACAGGCACACTGAAGCCAGTTTTTTAGGTTCTTAAATAGCTAAAATGTTTGGCATTATTATTCACCCTTTAAAAAGCTTTTGAGGAAAAGAGTGACAAGTTTAAAGTAGTGTTTTAGAGATTCACCCACCAATAATTATTTGGAGGGAGAAAAGACTAGAAGTAGGAAGGCAGTTTTAAAATTGAAGTGATCAGTGCCTGAATTAGATTGGTCATAATAGAGGGTAAAAAAGAAGAGACAAAAGGGAAAGATATGATTATGAAAGAGACTGTGTAACATTTGTAACTGAGAAAAGCTAGATTGTAATGGATAGGTAAAAGACAACATAGACCCTATTGATTTAGGCAATTCAAGAAGAATGGATGTGTTTAGATGGAGGGAAAAAGTACTGTGATTTTTAAAAGTGCATTTTTATGTATATATATGCATGTCCTTGAGCATGTGTATACATGTGTATTTTTAGACCTGTTAAATTTTTGTCAGAGGCAGAATATTCAAGACAATGATATCACTGGAATTACAAGAAAGGTCCCTGCCAGAATTCTTGAAATTATTTTGTTTGAAGGTAATAGCTGAAGTCTTATGTCTTCACAGATGTTGGTATTTTAAAATAATAGTAGATGCCAAATACTTTTGGGTTTGTTTATAGCCAGGAAATAAAACCTAGCAGAGAATTCAGTAAAGGAGACAGTAAAGTAGATAGATAAAGGAAAGAATCCAGTCACATGATACAGTCACATAGAAACTAGGAGAGCTCAGAAATTCAAGAAGCAGAAATGGTCAACAATGGGAAGTGCTTCAGAAACAACAATGGGAAATGATATTATCACAATGGCTACAATTTCTGTGACAGTATCACAGGTGTTTCTGTATGTCTAGTATATCTTACTGAGATTTAATGAGAATTAAGTTAGCTAATTGATCGTGAATAAGAGCTACATCTGTTGAAATGTGGTTACAGTATAGATTATTGCTATTAGGTAGATCGGTTTAATCATTACTTCTAAATAGTTTATTTCATGTTGGTCTTCTGCACAATTTGCTTTTGTTTGCATGTCTGTTGTATGTATTCCCCACCTCCTAACCCAAAGTAAACTCATCCAAGCTGTGTTTCAGTTAGCACAGCTCTGGTTTGTACACTAACATGCTATGCTCTGGGATTTTGCCATTAGTAATCTTTACTTGATAGAGTCAAAGATGATGTGTAGCTCATGTGTATGCTGTTTTCTCTGTCTAGAAAACCTTTACTCCTGTTTCATGACTGGGCTTTCCTAGACCTTGTCGAAATTAAGTATTCTCTTTGTTCCAGTAACACTGTGCATATTCTTCCTCTCTAAACTTTGAACTTAAGGGCAAGAACTATAGTATTTGTAATGTTTATTTCTTAAGCTATGATGAGAACATGGATAGCCATCACATTACTCTTTAAACCTTTTATATGCCTAAAACAGTCAACGATAATTTGTAAAAGGCCTTCTTTTAGTTCTTAGGTCATAAGCTTACTCTGTATTTTCTTCTAATACTCTTACAATTTTGCTTTTGCATTTAGATCCTTAGTCAGGAGTGTACCTATCTGTGATCAAATAGGGCTCTTTATTTTTTTGCTCATGAAGTCAGTTGTAGCAATACTATTTATTGAATAATACTTTATTTTCCCAGTGATATCAGATCCATTTTTAACAATCACATAATAAATTCTTAAATATACTTGGATCTGTGTTGGGGAGGAAGAAACTTTTCGCTACCCGCCAGGTTCTTTGAGCTGGCCTAACAGTCAAATCTGTATGAGACAAATTAACAAGAGAAAAGAACTGAATTTAATTACATATGTACACATTAGAACCCATATATACGAGTCAAAAATCCCACATAAATGGCAGATTAAAGACAGAAAGGGAAAATGAGATATATATAACATTCTGAGCTAGGATCATCTTGGGGCTTCAGAGAGGAGAAAGATCATTGCAGGACTATAAGAAGTGCAGATGGTCATCAATTAGAAGTTTGTCTTGCCCTATAGATAGGCCATAAAAATTATTTTGGGTGATAACTCTTATTATGGGCAAGGCCCCAAACTTACATGTTTTAAGGGAGAGGTAAAAGTTTATCATGACACCATACGGTATTGATTGCATTCAGCTCAAAATAATTCACATTCCGCAGTGGCACATTTTTGGGGAGGCCTGTTCTGAACCCCTACATCTGTTTCTGGACTTTTTGTTTTATACTGTTTTGTTTGATGTCAATGCCATATTTGAATTATTATAACTTTATAGTATGTCCTAATAGTACAGCAGGTATTCTATTTTTTTAAATTGGTTTTTGGCTATTCTGTTATTTTATATAAAATTTTAAGTTGGTTTGTGAAGTTCTATAATAAACCACTTTTCAATTTGGATTAAAGTTGTATTGCATTAATACATTAACTCGTGAAGAACTGATGTCCCTGCTATATATAGGTAGGTAGGTAGGTAGATAGATATTCATTCCATGACATTTAGGTCTTACAAATGAACCTTTTAGTAAGGTTTTATAGTTTTCTTCATAAACTTCTTGCATAGTTTTGATTAGATTTTTTCTAGATATATTATAGTTTTTGATGCTACTGTGAATAGGATTTTTCCTCTTACATTTTACTGGTTACCACTGATGTATGGGAGAGCTGTATTTTTTGATGATCTTTTGTTCAACTATTATGTTAAACTCTCAGTTATCCTAATAGTTTGGCATTTAATTATCATTCTTTTTCTTGATCAATGATCATATCATCTACAATTTTTTGTTTTTTCATTATATCTTATATTTTTAGTTAAGCACCTAGAAGTGTATCGAATAAGTGATGATTCCTAGCATCTCTTTTGAATCCTGACTTCAATAGGAATGTTTCTAACTTTTATCTTTAAGTACAATGTTTAGTATAGGTTTGTGATAAAGTGCTGTGGCAGCAACAGCTGCACTGATAACAGCTATTACCATTTATTGAGTATGTACTATGAGCCAGATAGATTCTAAATACTTGGTGTTGACTTATTTAATCTTCACAAAAGTCCTAGGTAGTATGTAGGTAGGTGTTGGTGTTATCCTCAGTTTTACACATTAAGAGATTGAAAGTTAGAGATATTGAAAACTTACCTAAGATCTTTTACAGAAAATAGAGAAGCTGGGATTTGAACACAGGCAGTCTGATTTCAGAGTCCTCTTCTTTGTTTAGACTTCATCAAGATAGGGATGGTCTCTTTCAGTCTTAGTTTTCAGACATTTTGTTGTTATTTTTAGATTTTAAGTGAACAATTGTTGAATATTGCCAGATGCTGTTCAAGCACCTATTGGAATGATTGTGTGTGTACTGTTCTTCTTTATTAATAAATGTAGTAGGTAATGTTACTATCTTTTCTCATGTCGAACCATACTTGTATTTTCAGGCTAAATTCTTGTTAGTATTCATGGGTTAGTTTTGTTTTGTTTTCAAATACATTGCTAGAATAAATTTGCAAATACTTTAGGCTTTTTCACACCAGTATTTATAATAGCTTGACGATAGTTTTATGGTGTAATACTTCTTTGATTTGGTGTCCAACTGACTGCAATTTGTACTTCTGGCCAAAATGATGTAACAGGGATAAGATTAACCATCCTACCCAAAACAACCATAAAACAAAAAAATACATGAAACCGTGATAACTAAGATACTGTACACTAGATGGTGAAAGGCAGTGATCTTGAGAGATGGGAAACAAACGAGGTGAACCTAATGACTGCACTAGCCTACTACCTTTAGAGAGTTTCCAGACCATAGCACAGATAGGGGAATCCAGGCTAAGCCCATTGGACGCTCTGAGTTGAAGAGATGGTCAGGGACACCAAAGTGTCTAGAATTCACAGAACAATTACAGGTATCCCCTGCTTTTCGAAAGTCTGCTTTATGCCACTTTGCTCTTATGGAAGACCTGCATTAGTACCTGTTTTCGCTAGCTGAAGGAAATCCAAGGAGGATTTTTGCTTTTCGAAGAAAGGCAAAAGCGAAAATAGTGTTCAGGGTTTGTTTTGCGATGAGCCATCAGAGAGGCAGCACACACCCTAGGCAGCAAGAATGGCACTGCCATGCTCCTTCTGGAACTGTACTCAGATCAAGCACCACAGCTTTGAACTGTGTCTCTGTGAATATCTCTTCTTTATCTCTATTTTGTGTACCCGTTAGCAAGATGTGTCCTCTGGTAATTGCTTTTTTTACTTTATGCCATTTGGGCTTACAAAAGATTTCATAGGAATGCTTTACTTTCGAATAGTCGGGGAAACCTGTCCTGGAGAACTCTTGAAAGTTTCAGAGGTCTCCTTAACTATGCAGTTGACCAGTGCATGCATGTGAAGAAACTACTGAAGGCCTGGGAAAGAACTTCCTGAAGGGATTAGAGGTATCAGTTCTTTTGGTGCTTCCACAGGGTCAGGAATGGTACCTGTCCTCATCAGGCACATTGGGAATCATCTCGATTCATGAGACATTGGACAGAGTACACAGAAGAGTCTTAGTAAGAGGGAATGATTTGCCCTAGAATAAGCACTGTTTCAGTCCCACCCAGTGTATCTTAAAAGCAAGATCCGAAAGGATCAAACTGTTTGCAAATAACTTTAACTGTGTCTTAGAACAAAGTTCAAGAGTATAGGAATACAAAAATATCCGACACCCAACAAATTAAAATCCAATGTTTCACATCCAATCAAAAATGACCAGGCATGCAAAGAGAATGACGTTACAATGTATAATGAGAAAAATCAATCAAAACTAACCCAGAGCTAACACAGATGTTAGAATTCCCAGACAAAGACATTAAAACAGTTGTTGTAGCTTTGTTTTGTGTAGTCAAAAAGTTATATAGAGTTATAGGAGATATGAAAAAGACCCACACTGAACTTCTAAGAGATGAGAAATATGTGAGATGACAAATACACTAGCTAGGATTAATGGCAGATTAAACATTGCAGAGGAAAAGATTAGTAAACTTAAAGATATAGCAGTAGAAATTATCATGAATAAAACAGACGGGAAAAAAACGAACCGAGTATCAGTGATCTCTGGGACTATTTGAAGCATCTTGATATACATGTTTTTAGAAATAAGGAGAGGCAGAGACAGAAATGTATTTAAAGAAATAATGGCCAGAATTTTTTCAGATTTGATAAACACTATAAACCAATAGATCCAGGTAGCTCAACAAACTCAAAGCCTAAGAAACATGAAAATTATACCAAGGTGCATCACAGAAATAGGATGCATACTAGATTTAGTCTGTGGACCATAGTTTGCCAGCCTCTGTTCTAAAATACTATTTAATTTACTTATGTTGCTTTATTGTCTGTTATGTGTTGAATTGTGTCCCCTCAAAAGAAATGTTGAGGTCATAACCATCCAGTACCTCAGAATGTTACCCTAAATGGAAATAGGGCTTTTGCAAATGTAATTGAGATGTTTAGTTCCTTGCTATATTCCTAGCATCTGAAATCATACCCAGCATTTAACATATTTGTTGAATTAATAAATCCAACAACTAGTGAGCAGATACATAATATATTGGTGAATAATATACTGTAATTTAACCAGTCCCAGCTTTTTGCATGGACATAAGCTTTCATTTCTCTTAGGAAAATACTTAGGAGTGGAATAGCTAAGTATATGGTATGTTTAGCTGTATTCTTCTATGGTGATGTATCTTTTCAAATATTTTGCTCACTTTTTAAAAATTAATTTATTTTAATTAGGTTCAGGTATACCTCACTTTTTAATTGAGTTTGTTTTCTCGTGTTTTGAAAGTTTAAAAAATACATTTTGGATATAAAGTCTTTATTAGAAAGTTAAATTTTAAGTATTTTTTCCCAGTCTGTGGCTTGTCTTTTTATTCTCTTACCAATGGTTTTTAAAGAGCAGAACCTTTCATTTTAATGAAGTTTAGTATATCAATTAGTGTTGTATCTAAGAAATCTTTGCCTAATCCAGATTCTCAAAGGTTTTCTCCTATGTTTTCTAGGTAGAAGTTTTAGGTTTTACATTTAGGTCTATGACTTATTTCAAATTAATTCTTTTAAATAAAGTTTTATTAGAACTCAGCCATGCACATTTCTTTACATATTGTCTGTGGCTGCTTTAGCACTCCAATAACGGAGTTGACTAGTTGCAAAAGACTTTAAGGCCCACAAAGTCTAAATTATTTATCATTTAAGAAACATACAAGAAACGTTTGCCAACCCATTTTAGAAGATAGTAAATGCTCTTGAGGAAAATAAAACAGGAAAGGGAAGACCTGTATGAGATTAAGTAAAGGCTACAAGGAATTAATCTTTATGTATTGACTTTACAGTTTGAAGTTATCTTGTTACATTTCAAAGAGGAACCACCACTACTTATGCTGGAATTTAACCTATTGAGCAAATCTTAAAATGAATTTTTACACCTATGTGCATAAAATAGTTTGGCAGTTGAAGAGTTAGTAGCCTTAACTTACTGTTCCTGTTAGTAGAAGACAAAAGGTATGGTCCCCTTAAGAGATTTGCTTTAACTGCTTTTGTCAAATTCAACAAAAGGTCCTTTCACATTTCTGTGACATTACATGGACATCAAGGAAATTCAGATTAGGCATGGAGGAGTGGATGTTTCCAGGTGTGTATTAAAACAACGATAGGATGTTTGAATACTCATACAAATGTTTATGGGATTGTTTTCTACTGAAGTTCAGAATATATCTAAAATAGGGTTCTTTCTGAAGACCTGAAAGCCTAATAGCAGGCAGAGATTTAAGAAGTACACATATAATAAGTATCATCAAAGCCAGCTTTCTAAACAAGGCTCTTCTCTTTACAGTGGACCCAATGAAAAGAGCATGACATTTGGAGGTGGAAGACTTGGTTTCAAATTCCTGCTCCTTCACTTAATAATTTTGTGATTTGGGTAAGTAACTTATCCTATCTGAATTTTTGTTTTTCTTTTGTAATTGATTCCTGCCATTCCAAACCCATAGAATGTACAATATAGTGTCAGTGTAGGTTCATCCTTGGTAAAATGTATCATTCTAGTGAGTGATGTTGATAATGGGGGAGGCCATGCATGTGTGTGAGCACAGGATATGAGGGAAATCTCTACCTTCCTCAATTTTGTTATGAGCCTAAAATTGCTCTAAAAAAACCCTTTAAAATAATAAAATAATCCCCCCCATTCACCTGCTTCTCTAGGATATTAGGAGAATCAAGTGAAATAATTTATATGAAAGCATTTTGTGGAATATAAAATAGTATAAGTGAATTCATAATTAGTACGAATGGAATAGAACAGAATTGCATAATTTTAAAAAACAATATGTAGGCACAACTGACTTTTTGCACATTTATTCATAGTAACACTACTGTATATGACATGATGTAAAAGATAACTATATTAAAAATTTCCCCACCCTGATCTCAGCTCAGCTTGTTCAGTAATCATTTTGCCTTCTACTTGGCAATTGTAGTTCATCTACTGTTCTACAATTGTCGTAGTAATATAACTATAGTAAAAAGTTTATACTGACATTCTTCCTCACATGCAATGTAAATCTGAATGTATTATTTGTGCTTTTTCATCATGTCCTTGGGTCAAATTTAAAAATAAACTCAAAAATCACAATCCATAGCTAATAAAAATATTTATAAAAGGCAAAACTATTAAATATTTATCGATTATAACTCCACTGCTTTTTTCCCATTTGAGAAAATCTATGGGAATGAAAGTGAATGAGAGTAAACAACTATAGATTTAATCTTGAATTTATTCTAATTTTTAAGTAAATCATTCACAAATTTCATTACTTTAACATTAATAGTAGTGAATTACTTATGATGCATCTTATAGCTTCTCTCAACACATTACAGAGACAGTCTAGACAGTTCATTATCAAATAATTTTGTTACAGAATGACTTACATGATTAGGGAGTACAAAAAGTCAAGTTAATATTTATTTATTTATATTTAATAAAGAATACTGTGTTCCAAATGTACTATGTAGCCTTCATCAGGAAGCTAATAGTTTTATTTGGGAGAGAAAGTTTACACATTATTTTTAAATTTAAATTATTTTTTGACTAAGCACTAAAGTCATATGGCACAACATTGGAAAAGTGCAAAGAATATACACTAGAGAGTCTCCCTGGTGTCTCAAACACCCAATGGGATCCAATATTTGAACTTTTATCCTTCTAGAGAGATTTTATGCATATATAAGAAATTAGCATGGGTTTTGTTATCATTTTTTATTTTGATTTTGCCCATAAATGATGAATATACTGTTCTGTACCGTAATAATGTATTTTAGATATCTTTAAGTATCTGTACATACAGAGCTTCCTATTTTTTTATTGCTACATGTCTTCTGTGTTTGGATATGCCATAATTTAATTAGTCCCCTATTCATGAACATTTAGGTTGTTTCAACCTTTTACTATTAAAAACTGCTATATTGAATAATCTTGTACATGTGTTGTTTTGCTCATGTCTATGGATAATATACTAGCAATAGCATTAGAATCAAATGTATGTATATTTTAATTTTGATCGATAGTGTTAAACTGGCCATACACGTTGCCCGGGTAGGTTTTTGTTTATAATTGAGGTCTAATTTACAAACCATAAAATTCACAGTTTTAATTGTACAATTCGTTGGGAACGTTATGCCAGTTTACACAATAACGTGCAGTGTATGAGAATGCCTTTAAGTCATAGTCTCCCAGCCTCTGTTGATAACTTTAGTTTTTATGTTTTTGCCAATAGTAGAGGTGAGAATGATATCAAGATAGTTTTTGTTTGTTTCTTTACTATTTTTACTAAGAACTTATGTACAAGTCAAAAGTGTACAGCTCAGTGAATTTTTGCCATCATCCAGGTCAAGATACAGAACATGTGCAGCATCCCAGAATGCTCCCTTTGTCCCCCCGCCCACCAAAAAAAAAGATAACCACTATTTTGACCTCTCTCACCACAGATTGTTTGCCTGATTTTTGAACTTCATGTAAAGGGAGTCTTGTAGAGTTTACTTTTTGTGTGTCTGGTTTCTTCTGTATTATATGTGAGATTCAATGATGTTGTTGTGTGTGCCTATAATTCTTTTTCATTTCTGTGATTCAATTACTTGAATATACCAAAATTTATCTGTTCTACTGTTTATGGATTTTTGGTTGCTTCTACTTTTCAGTGATTATGAATAAAAATTTTCTGAACATTCTAGTACATGTCCTGTGGAGGAGTTAAGCACTCGTGTCTTTTAGCTATATACCTTGTCTGGGTAGGTTTTGTTTGTTTTTAATATCTAATTTATAAACAATAAAATTTACTAATTTTTAGGATACGATTTGTTACAGTTCCCTATAGATCTGCATTTCGCATGTCTTATGAGCAAAAGCCCCAATTGCCTTTTTTCTAGACAATCTTTTCAAGGATGTTGGAAGATAGAAATGGTGTCTCTCCATAGAGCAAAAGACAGGTTTGCTTACAGCCTTGGAAATTAGAGATAATGTCTCCCTCCAGAGTAAAGGGTAGGCGTACTTACTGCCATTTGAAAATAATTGTGTTTCTTCCACTTCAGTAACGCAGCTCACTGTGGGTACAGGTGTTACCCAGCTCTCTTCACAACACTGTGTGGGAATTTGGGTTCAGGCACCTGACACAAGAAAATGCTGATACTACTCTGACTATTGCTCCTGATATGAGTAATAAAGTCCTTTGTCTCTGACTCAGGAGTCTCATGTCTTCTGCCAGTATCCATGAAACTGGCAGACTTAACTAACTTGTTTCTTGCAAATAGGGTAAACTCTCAAAGCCAACACAGTTCTTGCCACAATTCAGTGAATTTTGATAAATATAGAGACTTGTTGCCACTGCAGTCAGATCATAGAACATTTCAATCACCCTCAAAAGTTCCTTTTTGACCCTTTACTTTTATTATCCTTCCCCACCTCTGCCAACTCTTGTTTTTCTTTCTATCACCATAGTTTTGCCATTTGTTGAATTTCCTATCAACAGAATTTTATAGTATATATCCTTTTGTGTCTGGCTCCTTTCATTCAGCATATGCTTTTGAGATTTATTCATGCTGTTGCATCTATCACTAGGTTATTCCCTTTTGTTGATGAGTGGTGCTTAATTGTTTGGGTAATTGTTTATCCATTCACCAGTTGATGGACATTTGGGTTGTTTTCAGTTTGGGACTATTATGAATGAAGCTGGTGTGAACATTTGATTATAGGTTTTCGTGTGGATGTATATTTTTACTTCTTTTGGGTACATGCTTAGGAACGGAAATGCCGAGTCTTATGAGGTGCTTTTAACTTTGTAAAGAACTGCGGAATTATTTTCCAGAGTGTCTGTATCACCTTGTATTCCTATCTGGGTAGTTTTAATTTGCATCTTTTGTTATGAGTGAGGTTGAAAGTATTTCATATGTTTGAATTATTTGTATTTCATTTTCTGTAAGTTGCCTATTCAACTCATCTTACCTGTTTTTCTACTGGGTGTTGGAGTTTTTTAGTTATTTATAGGCATTCTTCATATATCGGGATATTTTTGTTCATACTATGAATTAACACACTTTTTTTTTCCATTTTGTCAAGTGACATATGAGGTTGTTTATGATGGGTTTTGCCATGCAGAAATTTGTCTCTCTGAAGTTCTCAATCTCAAGAGTATTTACTAACAGTGTAAGACTTCACATACAAACAGATTGTTCTTTTAATTCACCTTAAAGTATAAATTGTTTTCCAGCAACATTTTATGTAGTCACAACTTCAGTGGGAATAAAGAGAAATATTCTAAAGACTTAAATTTGTTTTCTACATTCTCATAAGAATTTTACCACCTTTTAGAAAACAGCTATACAATGGAAACAAAAGAGCTTTAGGAATTGTCTTAACTTATGTGTAATAAGAGAAAATATTTAAAATAATATTACATGTGTCTTTTACAGAAATATATATGCAAGATGTTGACATTGCAAACTTGGACAGTGCAAGCCTTGTTAATTTTTCTCACCACTGAATCTTTAGGTAAGGTTCATGAGATACCCTACTTCTCAACCCTACAAATTAGGTTTATTGTATTGATATAATTATATAATTAAATTATGCTTAATCATTATATAATTATGATTATATATTCATAGCATCGTTATTAAGGGAATACTGTCTTAAAAATGATTTTAAGAAATAAAAATGCTCTCGATAAATTATAATTTGCATAATTTGAGTCAAAGGGTCACTCAGTAATCCTACATGCTGTTTAGCTATACTCACAATAATTTTAAGGTTGGGAAGGAGAAAATATATATATATTTTTAATAAAGAAACAGAAAATCTTTTAACTTTTAGCATTTTACTCCTTAATGGCCAAAGGTATCACTGAGCAGCAGTATGATTGTGATACCAGAATAAAGAGGTCACCTAGAGTTGGTACTGCTCAAGCTGATCCATAGCCTGAGGCCTGTCTGAAGATTGATTATTACTGGTCCACTACGAGATAAGTATAGAAATTAAGAATGTTTAGCAAGTCTTATAACAATTTGACATAGCCGTCATGTTCAAACATGTAATCAGTGGACTTGTCTCATGGAACTTAGTATAAAACAAAGGAAGTCTGTGAAAATTTGGGAAAACAAACTGATCCTTTACCACAAACAGTTTGAGAAGCACTGCTCTGAATCAACCACTCTCCCAATCAAGGAATGCAGCAGCTTTTTGAACACTTTAAGGGATACAAAGTTTATGTTAAAAATCTTTCTCATTTAGAAAGTCTTTCCTTTTCTTTCCTTTCCTTTTCTTTTCCTTTCTTCCTTCCTTCTTTCTTATTATTTATGCCTAAAGCACTTGGTCTTCTTAGATGGTCTCCCATCCAAGTACTAACTAGGCCCAACCCTGCTTCGCTTCCAAGGTCAGACATTGGGCTTGTTCAGGGTGGCATGGCCATAGACCTTGGACTGTGGCTCCACTGGGGTGCGAACCCAGGACCTTCTGCATGTAAAGCAGATGTGATAACTACTACACTATGGAACCACGTCCTCTTTCCTTTTCTTGAACTCAAATTTTCCTCATAAATTTTTTCTATTAATCCTAGTCTAGAGTAGACACACTTTCTCTTCCCACTGTTAAATTCTTCAAGTATTGAAGGACTACTTTCATGTGTTTCTAAGCCCTCTCTTCCCTAAACTAAACTTACCTAGTTGTGATAATCATTCTTTATAGCACTTGGCTTCCAACCCTCTGCAACTTCCAGCCCTGAGCATACTGATTACCCTCCTGAGTCTCCTCTTGGTTGCCCATATCACATTTAAAATATAGTATTTTACCACCTCTCCCACTTACCAGCTGTAAGACTTTGGCCAGTCACTTAGTATTTGCTTCAGTTTCCTGATCTATAAAATGGGGATAGAATGGTCCCTATTTCCTAGGGTTGTTAATGAGGATTAAATGAGTTGATAGAAGGCATTTGGACAGTTCCTGGCCCACAGTAAGCATTATAAAAACAATCATAATTATATATTATTGTAATTGGAATAAAACACACTTAAAAAAAAAATAATATAATGCCAGAACTAGACATGATCTGAGTATAGTGATATTATTATTTTGATCTGAACATCATTTTTATTAAAGCAACATAGCTGTTTGCCAGCTAAGATATACTATAGTTTCATGTTAAGCTACTAGTCAGTGAAAATTCTCAGGTCGTTTTCACATGAATTACTTTTAAGCCATTTCTACTTCACTCTACATTGATTTCTTATCAACCTAAATAGGAGATATTACCTTCTTTTGCAAAGTTCATTTTATTAATTTTAGCCTATTGGTCTAATCTTTCAACATAGTTTTGAATCCTAACATCATCCTATGTTGGCAGTCCTTCATAGTCTTGTCCTTTGCTAATTTGATAAGTATGTATCTCTTTTTTTTTTCCTAAGTCGTTGATTACAATGTTGAAAATAACAGGACTACGTTATCTGTTGCTACCTCACAAATTACTCCAAAACTCTATGGCTTAAAATGACAATAATTATTGTTTCTCATGGTTTATGTGGGTCAGGAATATAGATAGGCACAACCAGATTGGTTCATCTTTGCTCTATGATTTCTGGGGCCTCAGCTGGAATAGTCAAAGATTGAGGGCTGGAATCATCTAAAGGCTCATTCACTTATACTTCTGGGTTGGTGCTGGCTGTAGGATGAGGGCTTTGCCAGGGCTGTTGGCCAGAATACCACACATGGTCTCTCCATGTGGCCTTGGCTTCCTTACAACATGTGGCTGAGTTTCAAGAGCGTATGTCCCAAGAGAAAAAGAGAGCTAGTCAGAAGTTTTTAATCATTTTAATGATCTAGCCTTAGAAGTCATATAGTACACTTCATTGGCTGAGGCAGACAAAAGTAGCCACACAGATCTGAGGGCCCCATTTCTTTGTGGAAGGTGTAGCAGTCACATTGTAAGAAGAGCACGTAGGATGGGATAAACAATTAGGTGTGACCATCTTTGGAAAATACAGTCTACCCAAAGGACTGAGGACAGGCACTTCTGCATACACAAGACCTCCCACTCTTTTTTTGCAGTCAATATTTTACTTATATATATATATCTCATCAATTAAAGATTTATTAGTTCAAACATATGTCTGTTTTTATAGATCAAAAACAGCCAGATATCAGTGCGGCTAGATTACTTGTCTCTGGAGAATAGTAATAATGATAGGCTACCATTTATTGGAGGCCTATTGAATACCAGGCATCATAGTAGGTGCTTTACATAAGTAATTTCTAATCTCACAAAAACTCTTTAAGATAACTACTATTAACTTTATTTTCCAAGTGAGGAAAAACTCAGATAAGGCAGGTTACCACTCAAGTACCCATTAGCAAGTGGGATTCACTAGGAAGAGCTAGCTGCCTTAAAATTCTAGACAGTGAGGCTAGAGAAAGAGAATAGAATTATGCTAACTAGTTGGGAATTTAACTTGATGGGAATAGGTAGCCATTAAGTAATTTAAAATAGGGAACTGGCATTATCATTTGTGAAGAGTAACTCTAGCAGCAGTATGTAGGATAAACTGGAAGGACATCATACTGTGGTATAATATGGTTGCTTGAGCTTTAGCAGTCAACCTAGGGTTGGTAAGAAGAGGCTGACACACTAATTAAGAGTATAGAACCAACAAGACTCAGTGCAATATTGTTAAGTTGGAGGTTGGAGGAGGCTAATTAGAGATAATGAAGGGGGGGCTGTGATGCATATAATTTTAGACATGTTCATTTTAAAGTACCGTCAGAATATCTCACAGAATATGTCTTGTAAGCTATTGAAAACAAAATTGGAGCTAGGAATAGGGGTTTAGATGTCATTAACATGGAGTAGGTGATAGTTAAAGCATATAGTTTTATTTTTTATGCAATCTGATCTTTATAATATGGGATTTGATCTCATACACATATTATTAAAATTAATGTATTTGGCTATCTTATTCTTTTCTGTTTTTTAATTGCCCCCTTGCTATTTTTTTTGTTGTCTGAATTTTGATAGATGAACAATATATGCTATTCCTTTATGCCCCCACCTGCACCCTCAGCTGCATTTAGGACTAGAGCGGAGCAGAGACTACCACTGCCTCTTTTCTGGAAGGTTTAATTTACACCCTCCAGAATGGAGGAACAGAATTGGTGGTGGAACAAGTATGGATCATGCTGCAGGCATTCTGTGTTTCCTAAAGCAAAATTAGAATATTATAGAAAGGGGTGAAGCTTGCCTAGGTTTTTTTTTTTTAATCCAACTTCATCTCCCTCATAATTTGTATAATTTCTTTACAAATATTAGCATTAAATTCTGACTATATTAATTTTCACTGTGTTCTTTTTCTGTGTCTTTAGAGATATTTTAGTGAAGATTGAGGAATTGCATAGATTCAAAATATTTTGTACCAGAAAAATTCAGTCCATTTTTATATTTTCTATTACTGTTCCTTTTCAGGTGAACTTCTAGATCCATGTGGTTATATCATCCCTGAATCTCCAGTTGTACAACTTGGTTCTAATTTCACTGCAGTTTGTGTGCTAAAGGAAAAATGTATGGATTATTTTCATGTAAATGCTGATTACATTTTCTGGAAAACAAACCATGTCACTGTTCCTCATGAACAATATACTGTCATAAACAGAACAGCATCTAGTGTCACTTTTACAGATATATCTTTATTAAATATTCAACTCACGTGCAATATTCGTATATTTGGACAGATTGATCAGAACGTTTATGGAATCAGAATAATTTCAGGCTGTAAGTTTTTTTTTGTCTTATTTCAGACTCTGATGACTGTTGAGTTATATTTTTAATGTGTTGGTCTTTATGAAATGAACTAATTTGTCAACTCCGACTTTCGGACATATTTATTTTTAAAAAATAAGGTTAGGAGTGGAACTACAGTTTCATTACTAATATGCAGAAAAAGAGTAACTCAAGTTTTATATCTTTCCTGAAATCCAAGCATCTGTCAGTTTTCTAGGAAAATCCTTTGACATGAGACCCCCCAAATAAAGTATTGTTGAAGTCAGTGAATTTATTCATAGTAACTTTTAACACCCCTTAATTGCTGCGAAAATGCTCATTAAGAAGGCGAATAAATAAATATTGGAGAAAGTCTCTCTTCTATGTCAAAAGAAATAAGTAAACAGTATTATCCAAGAGTGGATCATCAAATATGTGGATCAGCCAAAACTAATTTTACCGTTCGCTTTTCCATCAGAGTTTGGGAAGGCAATAGGAAGAGAAATATAAATGAATCATTTTTGCTTCTATTTAGTTGCTTCTTACTAACATGCAAATATTACTGTTTAAAATATACTTAATGGAGAAATCAGTATATTATTATCCAGTTATAAATGAAAGTTCATTTTACGTAGAAAATTAATTTGGAACATACTAGTTAATGACAATTATGATAGAAAATATATTACTGTCTGAAAAGAATTTCACATTTAAATAAAAAAAATTATTTAGGTACCAGTCTTTCATTATGTTCATAGTTTTTGCTTGGGTTTCTTTTGTCTATTTAGATTTTAAATGTCTCGTGTAGTATATAGATTGTATATTAATTACTTGTGGTTTTGAAGCTTTTTGAAAATTGCTAGTTTTTCCCTTTTAGTGCCTCCAGAAAAACCTAAAAATTTGAGTTGCATTGTGAATGAAGGAAAGAGAATGATGTGTCAGTGGGATCCTGGAAGGGAAACATACCTGGAAACAAACTTCACTTTAAAATCTGAATGGCAAGTTATTTTAACTTTGTTGTATGTTGAATTTATTAAGTTAGTCATTTGTGCTGGAATTTTTATTTTGTCAAGTAGTAATATTAAGTGCAAATTTTTAATATTTTATTTAACCTTTTATTTTAGAACATCTGAAACATATAAAAGTAGAAAGAATAGTATAATAAATCCCCATGTACCCATCATCCAGCTTCAATAATGATCAGCACATGACCAGTCTTATTTTATATATACCGCACCCCAGATTGTCTGAACATAAATCTCAGATATCATATCATCTCATCCATAAATATTTGAATACATATCTCTAAAAGATTAGGACCCTTTTTAAAAAGACATAACAACATACCTTATTAAACCCAGATATAATCGAAAATACTTTAACATGGCCACATTTTCAGTTAGTATTCAAATTTCTCCAGTTGTCTCATAAATATATGTATTTTTACATTTATTCAAATCAAGATCTAAGTAATCTCCATATATTGCAGATTGATATGTCTTGTAAGTCTCTCTTAACCATAGGTTCCTCCACCTGTTTCTCTTTTTTTTTGCAATTCAGTTCAAATAATAGTTATTCATTGTTTAACATTCCTCTTTTTTTATTTTCTAAAAATTGCTATTAGATCTAGACACTTGATCAAATTTGGCTTTGATTTATTTTTTAAAAAATAATAAGAATGATGTGTACTTCCATCAGGGACCACCACATAATGTTTGATTGTTCCTGTATTTTTGATACTAAGATTGAGCAATGGTTTCAGGTTTCATCAGCCTGATCCATTCATTATAAAATTCCCCATTAGTTTTTTCAAACACAAAAATTAAAAGAATTTTACAGTGAAAGCTTATACATACCCATCAACTAGTTCTACAGTTAACATTTTACTATATTTGCTTTATCACGTATCTATCTACCTATGCATCCTTCTCTCCATCTATTAATCCATCTTTTTTATGCACTGTAGAGTGGGTTGCAGACATTAGTATACTTTACCCTTAAATACTTCAGCATATATGTATATACACATCATTAATGAGGTGTAATGAACTAGATGTTTACAGGCATTTTTTTAAGTTAAATTTACATATATCTTAAAATGTACTTAAATATCTTAAATGTATCATTTAATGAGTTTTGACTACTGTGTACACTTGTGTAACTCAAACTCTTGTCAAAATATAGAACATTACTAACACCCCAGAAAGTTTACCACATGCCCCTTCCTAGTTAATCCTAGCCACCACCCTGTCCTACTAGACAATTACTTGTCAGATTTTCTTTCCTATAGTTTTTTGCCCGTTTCAGAATGTCATATAAATCAGCTGTTCCCAACCTTTTTAGCACCAGGGACCAGTGCTCCTATGAGAATCTAATGCCTGCCGATCTGAGGTGAAGCTGAGGCGGTGATGCTAGCACTGGGCAGTGGCTGCAAATACAGATGAAGCTTCCCTGGCTTGCCCGCTGCTCACCTCCTGCTGTGCAACCTGGTTCCTAACAGGCTGCAGACTGGACCGGTTGGTACCAGTCCGCAGCCCTGAAGTTAGGGACCCCTGATATAAATAAATCAGGCAGTATGTACTGTTTTGTGAAAAGTTTTTATGATTCAGCAGAATATTTAGAGATTTAACCATGTTGCTTTCAAATAGTTTTTGACTTAAAGGTTCGAACAGTCATCAGTGATTATTTTTTGAGGTACAAAATAGTAGTATTCTTGTTTTTAACCGAAAATACTTAAAATTTCCTCTCATCAACAATTGGTTCCCTGAGGTACAATTCATATAAGAGAAGCAAAATGGTGTTAGTATTTCCTTTTATTAACCATTTTTATAATGCGTTGGTTTCCTAGTATCTTCCAAAGGTAGATAATGAGGAGTTTTCCCCTCCTTGTGAATTCATATTTAAAAGTATTAGATGTGTTTCAATCCATTCTGGTAATAATTCTTGATACTTAAATTGTCCCATCTTTGGTTAGCGGGAACTTATTCAGATTGGCTCATCCTTTTAACATAGCTTCATTAGTCTTTGATAATCAGCTTCCTTCGTCTGCTATGACATGATTTTCTGGTTCATCTTAATATATTTCTTGCCCCAGACCTAAAATTAATCACTACTTTATAGTAGCCATGGTTCTATTCCGTATGAAATGCTGTTTAGAGACTACAGTTTGGGTGATAGGGCAACTTGTTGCTACTGGGTTGTCATTGTTTTTAGGCCTTTTCAGTGGAATACTAAACAGAATTTTTAGATTGTTTTTCTTTCACTAAAAATATAGTTAAATTACTGTATTAAAGATACTTAAAATAGTTCCTTTCTACGTATATACCACCAATTCAGTACAAGAGTTCCTATGTTTCATCATCTACTTTTTGGAATTTTCCTAAAAATGTAAACTAGTTAATTCAAAAAGTCAGATTTATAAAACAAGATATATTCACAGAAGTTTCAGTTCCCTGTCTCCTATACCTTATTTCCTCCCTCCCCCTAGAGGTTACTTGTTTTGGTTTTGATTTATCCTTTTTATTTTAAAAAATAATGTGTGTATATATATTCTTATTTTATGCATAATTTAATTTATAACATGTATATACATAATTTATGCATAATATATAAGTAAATATAGTAATAACACTTAAAACTTTCTATAGTGATAGAAATCAGAAAGTGGTTGCCTGGGTTTGACTGAAAAGAGACTGAAGGAATTTTGTGGGCTGATGGAAATTCTTATCGCTATCCTCCTATCTCGTCCGAGCATATAGTGCTTAGAAAAAGCGTACTGTGCTTAAAGAAAGACATTGCTAGTACATTAAGGAATCTATTTCAGAAAAGTAAAGAAATGGTAAATAGATCAAAAACAGGCCACAGGAAATAGATAATTTTTGGAGACATGCCAGTGGGAATAGAGCATAATATTCTAAATGTAATATTTTTGGAATAAAATTTGAAAATTTTGTGTTTAAGATATAGGTCAAACTCATTTTTAAAGAAAAACGGGTTCATTTTTAAGGAATTTTGTTTTTAGTGTTCAACAATTTATTTCAAACTTATTGGAATTAACTTTATTTTAAGCAGTAATAATCTGGGTCTCATCAAACTCTTTTCAAGTAATCTTTTTCACTAATTTATTCAAATCTATTTTTAATAACTGATTTCTTCCATTTTTGTATTTAGGGCAACAGAGAAGTTTGCTGATTGTAAAACAAAACGTGACACCCCTGCCTCATGCACTGTTGATTATTCTCCTGTGTATTTTGTCAACATTGAAGTCTGGGTAGAAGCAGAGAATGCCCTTGGGAAGGTTACATCAGATCATATCAATTTTGATCCTGTAGATAAAGGTAGTTCTAAACCTGAATTTGAGAATTTATTAAAATACGCAGTAGTTTATAAAGTAGTTTTTAGATTTTAATTAATGTAGAAACAAGCATTTATTATCTTAGTGATTTTTATACATTCATTTTATCAACATTAAAAATAATTTGGAAAAAGAAAAATATCCGTAATACAACCACACTGTTATTTTCACTTTGAATGTTATCTTCTCGTATTTGTCCAGGTATCATTTTACAGGATTATAATCATAGTATACATGTTCCATTTTGTTCTTTTTTAAAAACTGAATATATTATAAATATTTATCTTTTGATAGCCGAACTAGAAAAGGTTAACAAATGTAATAAACTGACAAGGAAAACAAAAGATTTTTAAGAAACTTTTTCTTTCCGTTATAAGAGTATGGCATAGCATTGTTTTCAGAGAAATTAGTTCATTTAGTGAAAATAAATGAATATTGTGAAATTAAGAAAATATAAAGAGTATATTTGAGTTTGTATAAGAAGTTGATAAACATTAGGATTTATTTTATTCTTCAGTGAAGCCCAATCCACCACGTAATTTATCAGTCAGCAACTCAGAGGAACTGTCTAGTATCTTAAAATTGACATGGATCAACTCAAGTATTATGGGTTATATAAGACTGAAATATAACATTCAGTATAGGACCAAAGATGCTTCAACTTGGAGTCAGGTAAATCGAAAAGTTACTGTTTATTCAAATAGTCTTTCTTGTAACCTTCTAACCTAAAAGTCACAATCATTTTCTGAATGTCTTAAGTGAAATATTTTGCTTGACACCTCTTCTAGATCTGTATTTCAAGCAAGGGCAAACAGGAAGACATCCAGATGGAAAATATAGATTTGCTAAATACAGTAGCTTTTAAGTAAAATATGGAAGTGATGGGAGGTGAAAAGAACACAGATAATAAAAAACAAATCAAGTGAAGGAGTTAAAGAGATGATATGGATAAGGTAGAGGAGGAGTTGACAAACCAAGTCTGTGGGCCCAATTCAGCCAGCCATCTGTTTTTATCAAGTTTTGTTGGAACTCAGCCACAAACATTTGTTTACATGATATTTCTAGCTACTTTTGTGCTACAGTGGAAGAGTTGAGTTGGTGCAACAGAGACCATCCAGCCCACAGCCTAAAATATTTACTATTCAGGCCTTTATAGAAAGTTTGCCAACCCCTGAAGTAAAAGGAGGGATTGATGGAGAACTTGTGAGACTGAAAAGGAAGAGGACAGTGTACCCAAAGATGAAGCTGTCAGCAAAAATACTTGGAGCTTTTTAAAAGTCCCATCACCATAGCTTTGAGCTCTCCATACTATTCTTCCTTATAACTCCACTTATCACTAACAGTGTGCTTTTGTTTTGTTTCTTGGTTTGCAGTAATGAGCTCATAAGAGAATTGAGCCATGACCTTACTGCTTCTGTCCTCCATTCCACATATCTAAAGGGCTCAGAATACGATTAGAAAAAGCAATAAACCAAAATGAATTAATGCTTCATGTTGTATAGAGAAAATACCTGAAATTCTTCAAAATATTTTTTAATATCATAGAATCTTAATTCTTTGGTATAAAAAAGACTGATACCTCTTTTGTATATTGAAATCTCAGAATAGTAGAAAGAATCAGTTAGTTACCTATATGTAGTCTGCTCTTTTTTCCTGAAAACAAAGTTTGTCTGCAGTGATAGCTTTTCGTTTTCTTGATTGGACTAGATATATCTTCCTTTTGCCTATCCAGATCCTTCTCCACCATCCTCTTTATCTTGGTATGCCTACCTGTGTGGATTCCATTTGTGGGTTCCTATTTCTTCTAGTTACCTACTGAGTATGGTTAATGGCAGGAGAGATAGAAGTGAGATCAGCATATTTGTTTTTCCTGCTGCTTCCTCCCTTGAGCTTCCAGTGTCTCTAAACCTCAGGTCACTGCTCCTCTCAAGTTAACTCTATCTAAACCCTTCTTCCAGATTCTGGTACCTCCCCCTCATACCTTTCGGCCCCGAGGTGGTGACAGCTAGAAGCTCTAGAGAACTGACTGCACCTAAGGTTTCCCTATACTCTGTCCATATTCCCTTTAGTAAACCCTCCTTGATTTAATTCTAATTGGAACATGCCATTTTATTTCTGTTGAGACTCAGTGTTACAGGCCATATGGAAGAAAGAAATAAAAATAAAGAAAAGGAAGAAAGGATTAATAGTAGATGTTTCCATACTTCCCAAATCTATTTTCTTTACTCACTTTGATTGCTTTTTGACTTGCATTTATTTCTCTCCAGAGCTCGAGTTTGTTAGTTTTGTTTCATTAAATTCATTTCTGTAGTCTTATGCAATTTAGAAGACCTATAATAAATACCATTGGGTTTTCTGTTGGTTGATTTTTGCTGTTTTCAGATTCCTCCTGAAGATACAGCATCTGCCCGGTCTTCATTCACTGTTCAGGATCTTAAACCTTTTACAGAATATGTGTTTAGGATTCGTTGTATGAAGGAAGATGGTAAAGGATTCTGGAGTGACTGGAGTGCAGAAGCAAATGGGATTACATATGAAGATAGTAAGTAAATAAGTATGTGAAGAAATGAAGCTGTTGGAATTTGGGCTGCTTTTAATAATATAGACCTCATTGCTTATTTTGTGATCATTTTATTCAAACTGCTATTTGATACTTTAATTTTTAAGGACATTAAGATACAAAATTTAGTGAATTGTTGATAGTATAAATATTTGATACCTAATGAAATAAAGTTATCATGGAATAGTGTCTTAGATACCATGAGAAAACCATTGACTTAACAGCTCGTAAGTCTAGAACATTTTATTAAAGGACAGTAGTCCAGAGATATCTCTAACTAGAGAATCATATCCTGAATCATTAAAATCACACTATCTAGCAGAATACACCTTTGACCCTCACTATCAAAGAGATATTTGTACTATATATTCATTTTTACCAGCACTTGATAAACCCCTGGAAAAGAGTCCTGATGTTTTGGTTGGTTGGTTTATTTTCATTTCCCCTTTTTTTCGCCATGATAATACAGTATAAAGCTGTCTACATAAAATGGTGTATAGTCCCAAGTAAGAATCTCTAAAGCAGCTAATGTTACTTCTTTAGCCACCAATAAATAGTCCTGTGGCATAAATATGTTACTTTTCTCATTCTTTATTAGTTAATGGCAGCAATCCTAGCTTTAAAATCTCTTCTACCATCTATATTCCTTCACTTCCAGCTCTACTAAAGGTTTAGATAGTGAATTGAAAAGCAAAAAGTAAAGTACCCTTCTCCACTAAGAATTTTTTCTCATTCTCATAACTGCCAGGAGAGAAAGCCAGTCCTGCTATTATTGCAGGTTTGGGAGTCCTCAACCAGATTCCTTTGTCTTACCTGGGAATTCTTAAACTGGATTCTTGGGGCCTTAAAAGTATTTGGGTCAATTTGGGTGAGTTCCTGCACTACTTTAAAATATGGACAAAATATGCTGGTTACTGCCTGTGTGCCTTTTCTGGGGAGATAGTACATAACCCTTGTCAAATCAAAGAGATTGCCAGAACCCCCATAATTATGAACCATTAACTTAGTGAATGAAACCACTAGGTTCACTCTGTTGGGAAATATTTCTAGCCCATAAAATTTATAATTTCCTGTTCGTTACTCATGTATTTTTGAACTTATGAATTTATATCTATTTGAACCCCCTGTACAGGCAGCCTTTCCCCAGCTTTTGCTCTTTTTACTGTTTTATAAACTGTAATAACCTCTTCAGGATCAACATATCACTTAGATTTAATTTATGTCCTTTTAAAAATTCTGTTAAATACCACATTTTGCAATTATAATTTTTTTTAAAAAATCAGTTGATCCTACAGGAATTTTTAAGACCTAATTACTAGCACTTAAAACTTGTTTTATAAAGTGCTTTTTTCCACATGGACGGTGATTATCACAACAATCTTGTGAATTCATTTGTTATATTCTATTACACTGAATCTTCCCAGCATAAGGTAATAAACTTACACTATATTTTACTGCACTTACTTTGTTTTATAGTCTCACATTTGTATATTGGGTTTTAAGCATATATTTAAGTATGATTTTTCAATTTTATTTTTAGCAATAAGAAATAGTGATACATCTTTGGTTATTGCTTAGGATATATTTGTAGCTTTATAATTTTAAGATTACAAAAGAATTCCAAAATATAATCTAAATCATTAAGCTATCACCCTGACTAAAGGAAAACCAGGCATATCATGCTGGGTTGGAAAAATGCTCGTATAAAGAAAGAGAGACGCCATGTAAATGAAGGGCAAGAATATTAAGAACAAAGTAAGAGAATAATTTCCAGAGTTGTATTTTACGATTATAATAAAAACTTTTATTTTGTCATTTCTTTAGGACCATCCAAGGCACCAAGTTTCTGGTATAAAATGGAGCCATCCCATACTCATGGCTATAGATCTGTACAGCTTATATGGAAGGTAAAAAAAATGCATATTTATATTCTTTTGTCTCATATAAATACATTTTATATGGTGTTATGAGTAGAGGCTTTTTTACTTAAATTTTTATTCATCTTAATATCACAAAGCATTTGATAACTATTTTTAACAAATAGAAACGTAAAACTTTGTATATACAGCCTAGAAGTCAGGTTCATTAACTGCAGGTAGTACCTCATAGATACTTCACAGTTTTATGAAAGTTCTATAAGAAGAAGGGACCTTGTCTTCCATTGAACTTTTCTGAGTGCCTCCGAAAATAATAAAAGTTTGGGGTAATCAAAATGTATGCCAAAAATATAAAATTGTTGTGCACTCCATAAATGTATATAACAGGATCATTCTGAAAACAAGTAGAAAAATACTCTGGTGTAAAATGATTTAGGCCTACATAGTCACAGAGTAGAATTGTATATGGAACTAAAAGCTAACAGAATGATGCTACTTTCTCTCTCAGCCTAAGTCATGCTTTTACTCTTAATTCAGTATGTAGTTTTACTTTAGTAGTAAGTTCAAAATAAGATTGCCAGTCCTTTTAAATATTTAGAGATTTGACCTAATAGCAGAATTTGTGAACGTGAAGAAAAAATGATTAACTTTATTCAAGATTTATGAAATATAATTTTAAAATATTTTATTACAGACATTGCCTCCTTTTGAAGCCAATGGAAAAATCTTGGATTATGAAGTGACTCTTACAAGATGGAAGTCACGTTTACAAACTTACTCAGTTAATGACACAAAACTGACAGTAAATCTCACAAATGATCACTATATAGCAACTCTGACAGCAAGAAATCTGGTTGGCAAATCAGATGTATCTGTTTTAACTATCCCTGCCTGTGACTTTCAAGGTTTGTGTCTGTGAGATGGGACCTGATTTATGGATGGGAAAAGGTGTTTAGGTATGGATAGAGATCCTGTAAAAAACATTAATATTCTAAGACCATCTCCTCAGTATCAGCGATGATCATAGTTTTAGAAGTCAGTCTGCAGCCAGATTTGTTCCATCGTTACATGTCTCACTTAACCTTTGCTGTAAGCTCCTTAATAAGCATTTTCTGATTATGTATTTATCTGTTTTTTTAAATATTAAGATTTTGGGAACTTTATATACATATGACTTAAATATATTATTTGTAGCTTTCAAAGAAGAAAAAATTGCAATATGCATATAAAACAGTTGAAGAATTTGGGGAAAGGAAGAAGTTTCAAATATATTGACTGTAAATTATAATAAAGTGCTTTTATTCGTGGAAATACATATTAAATAGATCACATGGTTATAAAAATGAATGTAAAATATCACAATTTCAAATTTTTAAATGTTTATTAAACTTTGTTTTAAAGCTACTCGCCCCATAACGGACCTTAAAGCATTTCCCAAAGATAACATGCTCTGGGTAGAATGGACTGCTCCAAATGAATCTGTAAACAAATATGTACTTGAATGGTGTATATTATCAGATAAATCGCCCTGTATCCCAGACTGGCAACAAGAAGATGGTAATGTACACCGCACCTATTTAAGAGGTATACCTAACTTACACATTTAAATTGATATACTTTTTCTAACTCTTTAGACAAATTTTTCTTTTGCATATTTTCTTCTGCTTTATAGGCATTGTGGTCAATTGAAGGGACTTCTAATTTATCACAGAAACCAGTTATGTCTAGTTTACTAGATGTGTGACTCTCAGCAAGTCACTTAACCTTTCTGAATTGCAGGGTCTGTTTATGGACAAAGTGGGGTAATACTTTCTTTTTTGTTTTGATCATTAAATGAGTATTCACAAAACTGTAAAGTAAGAGAAGTATAAGAATCCAGTCTCTCCTGTTAACCCGTTGTATGGTCTCTATCTGATTTAACTCCCTCATCCTTCAGTGAGAAAATACTTCTCTAGAGCATCTGATGACTTGCTAACTTCTCACAGTTGTTGAATAGGGAAAACAGACCTAGAACTCAGATCTGCTTATGTATTTTAACTGAAAGTACAATGAAGGACAGAAAGTAATGATATTATAGAGTTCCAAAATGGATTGTTCTGTTTTTAAAAGTATTACTTATTAAGTGGTATAACAACTTTACGAGAAAACAAAACCACTCAGCTTTTTTTTTTTCAGTAAAGTATAACTATTAGAATCAGCCATGAATAATATGATTTATCAGAGAAAAGCTCTAAGCAAAGACTTAGATGCCATACCAACAAAATAAAGTTTGTAAGCTTTATTCATAAAATAGGCTGTTTAGCCCTCATTAACCTATTGTTTAATATATAATTTTAATAAACTTGGTCATCTAATTTATCAACCTTATTAAAAGCATAGCAGAACTAGAGAGGAGACAGATTGGTAATAACTAGTCAATAGAAACTTTTTAATAAAGCATAGCACAGGCTTTGGAGACCTTCAGGTTGTGTAGTTAGCCCCATATAGCTCAGTAGCCCTGATAACATCACTGTATTACAGCAGAATATAAAAATTATCTTCTTGATACCATTGAATTATCAAGAAAAGGTAAAATTACTCTAAGAGGGCAAAGGAGCATATATTCATGAATAATAGTTAAGGAATCGTAAGTTATGGTTGAAGGTGTAAAGTTCAATATACCTTCAACAAACACCTTTTTTTCTGATATAGACAGATAAAATGATGTGTAAAGAAAAATTTTACTATTGCATGCTAAAGGAATAGATAGATTACTTTGTTAATTGGGGAGATTATAAATAAAATATTCAAGATAATTTTTTCTTTTAAAATTGTGCTACTTTCTAGGGGGAAGTAACATAATTCTTTTTTTCCGAGTCACCTGACATACTAGGGCCATTAGTGCTTTCTCTAGATCTTATTAGTGGCATCTTGCTCATTAGGCAGTTCTCAGAGGATTAGGTAAGCTAGACAAAAATTGTCAAACTATAAGTAAGACTCAAGATAATTTGAGATCACTGTTTTATAAGTCATAAGTATAAATGCAATTATTATTTTTATCGACAGTATATTTTTTTATCCACTGTATTGGCAATAGTAACCTTTTACTTTCATAAACCGTTTTATTCTATTAAGTTTAAATCCAGTATACAAAAGGCAATGCTAAAAGAAAGTTCAATAGTCATGAAATTATAATGTAAAAATAATAGTGGAATTGGACTTTCTCAGTATAGAAAAAACAATGCTTAATCTACTATTCTTACTTTAGGGAACCTAGCAGAGAGCAAATGTTATCTGATAACAGTTACTCCAGTATATGCTGATGGACCAGGAAGCCCCAAATCTATAAAGGCATACCTTAAACAAGCTCGTAAGTTTAAACTCACTTTCTTTGAAAAATGTTGAGCTTTGTATTAACAGACATTTTATCTCTTTTAAATAAGGGTGTTTCATTATGTTCAAATAACTATATGATAATGATTTTACTGAATCCTGTTGATTTTCAGTTAGCAAATGCCTTTATTCTGTTCCAGCACCTTCCAAAGGACCTACTGTTCGGACAAAAAAAGTGGGGAAAAATGAAGCTGTCTTAGAGTGGGAGCAGCTTCCTGTTGATGTTCAGAATGGATTTATCAGAAATTATACAATATTTTATAAAACCAATATTGGAAATGAAACCGGTAATAAAACTATATCAGTTATTAAGAATTAGATTATTTTTCTTAAGGTTTTTAAAAAAAATTTATTATTAATTTCAAGTAAATAAAGAAAATAGTACATTGGTTAGACATTTATATAGTTTTTGAAATGCTCTTTATCGCCCGGTCTTTCTTGCCTCTGGCTCTACACCTACTAATTTTAAGGCTTGCTGTCTTATACATTTTAGTATAGCATATTATCCTCAGAAAAGAGACACCTGAGAATATGCCTTAGGTTGCTTTCGTGGTCCTATTAAAGAAATACCGTGTTGTGCTTATAGGAGAATATTATGCCAGAGTTATTAAAGTTGTTTTCTAGCAAAATATACTTTTATTCCTTTTTAATACTTTCACAATATCAAATATAGGCCAAATGAAGCAAAAAGATTGAATAGTTGAATAAAGCACACTTATTGATTTCTTCCAGCTGTGAATGTGGATTCTTCCCACACAGAATATACACTGTCCTCTCTGACAAGTGACACTTTATACATGGTACGAATGGCAGCGTACACTGACGAAGGTGGAAAGGATGGTCCAGAATTCACATTTACTACTCCAAAGTTTGGTAAGAAATAATGGCATTTGGTCTTTCTTTTTTTCTTTTTCAAGTTTAATCAGACTAAAATTGGACTTAGTTTATATGCTAAATTTTTGTTAAAAGTGCATCTTTGGATTCATAGAAATGAAGTGTTCAGAAATTATGACATTTATATTGTTTATCTGGTTTTGGTTATTTAAGCTGTAGAAAATATTTTTCCTCACCTTTTTTGTTGTTTCATTAACTGTTTCTGACTGATTTCACCTATACCCTAATAAATCTCAAAAGAGTTTGTGTATCTTTATAAATGGGTTCATTTTTTTTTCACTAGCAACACTTGGATGTGGTCTCTTTCCTTATTTCCATTTATGGGTGGGGCTGGAAAAACTAGTCTACTCTTGTCATTTCCACTTCCATACCTCCAGCTCAGTCTTCAGCTTGCTGAAACCACTTCTACCACTCCACTCTACTGAAACTACTCTGGCATCACTCATAAAAGACCTCTTAGTTGTCATATCCAGTGCATGCTTTTTACTCTTCGTATTTTTTTCCTGCACTTCTTAGCATTTGACTCTGTTGGCTTCTCCATCCTTAGAACTCCCTCTTACCTTAGTTCTTCTAACTTTTTGTTTTTCAAATATCACTCTCCTGATACTTCCTTCTGCTACTTCCTTCTTGGTCTCCTTTTCTGCTCGGCTTTTAATTGTTTATATGCTCCAGAGCTTTGTTCTTGGCCCTGTTTTCTTATCTGTCTATTCATTCTGCCTACTCCCTGTCTATGACTTCAGCTATCTTCTCTTTCTCAAATACTCTTTCTTTCTTCTATGCCACCACTATCCAACTGTGCCAGCGCCAGAAATTTGGATGCAATTGTATGAAATTCTTTTTTGTTTACATAAGCCAAGTAAATATCAGGTCCTATTGATCATGCCTCTAATTACTGCTTGTGCAATCCCTTTCATAATCTCTTTCGTTGATGCTAAGCTTCTCACCATTTCTCTATCTTTTACTGTCTTTCCCAATGTCTTGCCCTATGTTAAGTCCTCACTTTCTCTTGTTTTGGGTGTAATTTTAGCCTCCCTAAAGTAGTCTTAAGCTATATTCTTTCTTGTTCTTACTACATTTTGAAACAATGTAGAAATTATTTTATTACATTTGCAAGCTCCATGTTCCTCGTTTGTTGAATTATTGCTGAATGAGAGAATGAGTGAGCTACTACAGTCAGTACTAGTGAGTGGCAAGCAAGGAGCAAAGCTTCATCTGTATTTGTAGCTGCTCCCCAGCACTAGCATCACCTCCTCAGCTCCATCTCAGATCATCAGGTGTTAGATTCTCGTAGCATCAGTCCCTGGTGCCTTTTGCTGAAATAGTAAAAGATTCAGAGCTTTGCTATGATGGCCAATAATGAACATAGTTTCTGGGAATTTAGACTATACAGTAAATAAAATACAAAGAAGAAAAATCACACCTAAATCCAAATTATCTTTTAACATATTTGTATATCCTAGTCTTTTTATGCATACATTTTTTTTTTTTTTTCAAAAATTAGATCATGCTTATTAGTATTATTTCATTATCTGCTTTTTTTACTTACCTCTATTTTATCAATCTGTTGTGGCTTCTTCACATGGCATTGGCCTTGCTTCCAAGGACCTTACAGCTTACTTGAAGAAATATGGTATAAGTAAACAACAAAAAATGGAGAGTCATTTGGGTCATGTAGACAGTAAATAGATTTGAATTTAGAGATAACAGTAGGGTGGAGTTTCATCTTCAAAGATTTTGTGCAAGAGACGATACTTGAGTCTTGAAGTTAGGATGTGAACAGATAAAAAGAAGAAGGCATCTTAGAGAAGCACGCACAAAGGCCTAAGGCATGAAACATAATAAGCAGGAATAAAGGAAAGGTTCAGCCTGAATTTGATTTGTACATTAGCATTCAAGAGTTACTGTTTGCCAACCTATAGTTTATTCCTGAGCATTGATCTGATTTCTTGATTTCTATTAAGCTTCGTAAGATGTAAAGTTACTTACAAAGGATATGTGTGATGGAAAGATAGGACTAAATAAGTGAAAGTGATTATATTACCTTCATGTTTTTCCTGTAAACAAATTAAAAGGAAACTGGAGATGTTAACCACAAGCAACCATAAGGCAAATCATTCAAAAATATCTCTAATATAAATTATCCCAATTAATGATTCATTTGATTAATAAAACCTCCTTTAAATGTAGATAGGGATTCCTGTGGTAGGAATCTTAGGCTTATTGCTTTTTTAGTTGATAATATTCCTACTTCTGTTACTCTTGTGCCTGTTAAGATTCTCCTAAAATTCTTAGTCCTATAGCAGATATAGCATCTTTTTTGAAAATAGTAAATAACTATTAAAATTTTGTCTGAAGGTTGTTTTTATTTCTTGTAGAAGGTTCCATTTGTAGTTTAATTATTATGATTACTTTGCAGCTTTTCCAATTCTACCCAGTACCCATGGAACTCAAAGATTGTGCTGAGTGCAGATCATAAGTATAATAAATGGTTAAGTTTGAAAGCTCTAACTTACCAGGTAGATTATCCAGTAAACTGAACTAATCTTATTCCCCCAACCAACATATATAATGCTTACTATGTGGCCAGGTTACTGTGGGCATAAGTGGCTGAGATACAATTTTCCAAGCGGGGGTTTAAACTTTTAAGTTTGCAAAGGCTGTAAAAAAGAAAAATCAGGATGGTATTTCATCCTTTTTAATAATACAGGCATACCTTGGAGATATTGTGGGTTCAGTTCCAGACCACCGCAATAAAGTGAATGTCTCAATAAAGCAAGTCTCACGAATTTTTTAGTTTCCCGATAGATATAAATTATGTTTATACTATAGTCTATTAAGTACATAGTAGCATTATGTCTAAAAAATGCTAGCAGTTATCTGAGCCTTCAGTGAGTCGTAATCTTTTTGCTAGTGGAGGGTCTTCAATTTGTTTTTTTTAAAAAAAGGCAATATCTGCAAAGAGCAGTAAAGTACAATAAAACACGGTATACCTATAATCTGGTTGGGGAGCTTCATTATTTCTCTTTAGCATATGTGTCAGTAATTATTTTCCTTCTTACTCATGTCTTGTTTTTTAGCTCAAGGAGAAATTGAAGCCATAGTTGTGCCTGTTTGCTTAGCATTTCTATTGATAACCCTTTTGGGAGTATTGTTCTGCTTTAATAAGCGAGACCTGTAAGTACCCTTATTCATATTTTTACATTTTTCTCCATCTCTTATCGAGCTATAATTTACATGCAGTAAAATTCATACATTTTAAGTGTACAGTTTTACAAAGTTTGTAACTATACAGATGTATTACTACCACCACAGTCAAGATAGAGAAGATTTTTATCACCCTTAAAAATTTCCTCATTTTAATTTATCCCCTCTCTCAACCCCTGGCCCCAGGCAATCACTGATCTGCTTTCTGTGATTGTAGAATTGTGTATGACATCTTTTTTCACTTACCATATTTTTGAGATCCATACACTAATATTTTTCCTTTTTGTGTTGAATAGTATTCTCTAGTATGTGATATATCAAAATGTGTTTATTCATATATCTGTTATGGAAGTTTAGGTTTATTCTTTGATTTTGGCTAAAATGGATGTTGCTTTGAACATTTGCCTACAAATTTTTGTGTGTTCATATGTTACCATTTATCTTGAGTAAATACCTAATAGTGAGGTTCCTGGGTCATATGGTAAGTGCATATTTAACTTTATAAGAAACTGTCAAACCATTTTTCAAAGTGGCTATACTGTCTTATATTCCCACCAGTAATGTGAGAGTTCCAGTTGTTCCTTATTGTCACCAACCCTTAGCACTGTCTTATGGCTGTGTAGTGCTATCTCATTGTGGTTTTAATTTCATTTCCCTCATAACTAGTAATGGATCTTTACATGTGCCACTTATATCTCTTCTTTTGTGATATGTCTTGAAATCTTTTAGCCATTTTTAAATTGGGCTGTTTGTCTTGTTAATATTGAGCTATAGGTGTTCTTTATATATTCTGATTATAAAATTTTTGTCAAATGTATTTTTTGCAAATTCTGGTCTGTGGCTTACCTTCTTGTTTTCTTAACTGTGACTTTAGAAAAGCAAAAGTTTTTAATTTTGATGAAGTCCATTTTATCAGCATTTTTTGTTTAGTGGTTCTTGTGTTTTATGTTCCATTTAAGAAATCTTTGCTTAACACAGTGTCACAGGTATGTTCCATGTTTTCCTCTAGAAGTTTAATCATTTTAGCTCTATGTCTGAGATCTCTTGTGAATTAATTTTTGTGCATGCTGTGAGGTCAGGGTCAAAGTTCATTTTTTCTCATAAATATCTAGTCATTCAAGCATTATTTCTTGAAAAGGTTATCTTTTCTTTTTCATTGGATTGCCTTGATACCTTTGCCAAAATCAATTGTCCATATAGCTTGGATCTATTTATGGACTTTCAGTTCTGTTCCATTGATCTATATATATATTCATGCCAGTACTATACTGTCTTGATTATTATACCTCTGTGTAGTAAGTTTTGAGAGCAGGTAGTGAAATTCCTCCAGTGTGTTCTTTTTCAAAATAATTTTGGCTAGGTTCTTTGCCTTTTTATGTAAATTTTAATATCTTACCAATTTCATTAAAAAAAAAACAAAAAACCTTGCTAGAATTTTGATTGGGATTTTATTGAGTGTATAGATCAATTTAGGGGAAAATGCAATCTGAACATGAGTGTACATGTTTGAGTCTTTGAGCTCATGAACAGAGTATATCTCTTTACTTATCTGGTTTTTAATTTCCTTTTGTAATGTTTTGTAGTTTTAAGTGGAGAGGCCTGCACATTTTATGTTAAATTTATCCTGAGTATTTATATTATCGTAAATGGACTTAGTTTTATTTTCTAATTTTCATTGCTGGTATACAGAAATGCCATTGATTTTTTTTTTTTTTTTTTAATTTTGTTTACTGAGACCTTGATAAATTCATTTACTCTAGTAGCTTTTTGGATTCCTTAGGATTTTTTACATACACAGTCATTCTGCCTGCAAGTAAAGATGGTCATCCAATCTTTATGCTTTTAGTTTTTTTTCTTATTGTGCTGGCTAAGACAGCCAGTACAATGTTGAACAGAAGTGGTAAGAGCCAACATCTTTTTTTTAATTCTTGGTTTTAGGGGAGAAAGCATTCAGTCTTTCTGAAGAAGTAGCATTTCCTCTTTAAATGTTTGATAGAATTTACAAATGAAGCCATCAGGGCATGAGATTTTCTTCATGGGAAGATTTTTAATTAAAAACTTAATTTCTTTATAGATATAGGGCTATTGAAGTTTTGTTTTTTTTTTAATCTGGTAATGAGTATTTTTCAAGGAATTCATCCATTGTTTGGTCTCTTAATTTAGGTTGTTAATTTTATTGCTTTTTATTTTATGTCCAGATTTTATAGTTGTTCCCATAGGAGAGTCATTCTGGTAAGATCTTGCTAATTTTTATTTTTGAACTTATTCTCAAGATGACTCACTTCCTCTGTACTTACGTACACTAATGGATTGCTAACTTTGGGCTATGAAATATAGTCAGGTGAACAAACAAGTAGGTTTTTATGATGGAGATGTCCTGAATTGGGTATTTTTAATATCGTTGGTCTTTTTGAAAAATCACATTTACCATATTTTATCTGATACCTATGTGAAATTTTGTTCTCTTGATTCTTTTAGTTGGAAATTGAACATTTTTGCTTTTTTTTGTTCTTGGGAAGGGATGTGCCACATTTTGTGACCTGGCTAAAGTTTTTAAGTAGTTTTTATACAGAATTTGATTTCAGAGTTTTTTCTAATCGAATATTGATTACTAGCTTTAGCCTTGTTAACGGTTTTTCATTATGACTAGGATTAAGATCTTTATGCATTTTAAATAGTATTTTTCTACTGATTATAAGGAAAATAGTTTTTCGTTGGCTTGAGATACAATAGGTATTGTTTACTTAGTTGGTATAGTTCTTGAGATTCTTACATGAACATGTTTAGAAATAGGGACTCTTCGTTGTATATTACATGTGGTTCTACATATGCCTTCTTTCTTTTCTCTCCAGAATTAAAAAACACATCTGGCCTAACGTTCCAGATCCTTCAAAGAGTCATATTGCCCAGTGGTCACCTCACACACCTCCTAGGGTAAGATAAAATGTTTGACTATAATACATAGGGATATTAGGATACCTTTGTAGAGTTCAGTCAAAAGATAATCAGACTGAATTGAAATGAAAACATAATAGTACATAAATGAGAATTTTAATCAAAATTTCAAAATACCTACACTTTCTAGGTATTTAATGTTTATGCTGATATTCCTGATATCAGATATTAATATCCTGATATTACAAATTGAAAACTTAGAGTGTTAATACCGATATGTGACAACAATGTAAGGAAAACATTTTGATTGGATATTAAAATCAAATTTAACAGTCTTCCACATTTTAACACTGATGAAATGATTTTTGGAAACGTATACTAAATTCTTTGAACTTCCCTAAATGGGAAATGATTTATATATATTTTCTTATCCTTGAAATTTGACATATTAAAATGTGTATTTTATATTCTATGAAACTTCAGTCATTTGAGTTTGATTTTTCTTAATGTTTTCTGGTTTTTCTATCCAGTTACTTCTAGGCTACTTAGTCTAGGCATGAAATATGAAATACTGTTTGTAGACCATTAGCTTATCAAAATGTAACACCAACAATATTGATTTGGAATTCTGAGGAAATACAGCCTGATTACTACTACTTAGAATCATTTCACAATATCTGCAGGTCAAGTAGTTGACAGTGATTTGATGATATAGATTATCTCTGCACCATTAAAAGTTATTGAGAAATTTCAGAGATGCTTTAGCTCTGTGGCTTTAATATTTGCCATATATATTTTGGAGTTTCTAAACATATGCCATAGGTAATAACCCATTTTCTCTCTTTCTTAGCATAATTTTAATTCAAAAGATCAAATATATTCAGATGGCAATTTCACTGATGTAAGTGTTGTGGAAATAGAAGCTAATGACAAAAAGCCTTTTCCAGAAGATCTGAAATCATTGGACCTATTCAAGAAGGAAAAAATTAGTACTGAAGGACACAGCAGTGGTATTGGAGGGTCTTCATGCATGTCATCTTCTAGACCAAGCATTTCTAGCAGTGATGAAAATGAATCTGCACAAAATACTTCAAGCACTGTCCAGTATTCCACTGTGGTGCATAGTGGCTACAGACACCAAGTTCCATCAGTCCAAGTCTTCTCAAGATCCGAGTCCACCCAGCCCTTGTTAGATTCTGAAGAACGGCCAGAAGAGCTACAGTTGGTAGATAATGTAGATGGCAATGATGGCATTTTGCCAAGGCAACAGTATTTCAAACAAAACTGCAGTCAACATGAAACCAGTCCAGATATTTCACAATTTGAAAGGTCAAAGCACGTCTCATCAATCAATGAAGAAGATTTTGTTAGACTTAAACAGCAGCAGATTTCAGATATTTCACAGTCCTGTGGATCTGGGCAAATGAAAATGTTTCAGGAAGTTTCTGCAGCAGATGCTTTTGGTCCAGGTACTGAGGGACAAGTGGAGAGATTTGAAACATTTGGGATGGAGGCTGTGATTGATGAAGGAATGCCAAAAAGTTACTTACCGCAGACTGTAAGACGAGGTGGATACATGCCTCAGTGAAAGACTAGTTCTTGTTACAATTTCAGCAGTACCTGTAAAAGCTAAAAATATTTTATCTGTGATTTCAGATAAAAGTAATCTTCACTCATTGAAGATGACCATTTGCCCTTAAGGACAAGAATGTACTGTCCTCCCACATGGACTATTTCCATTCCAGAAAATCTGGGATTCTACTTTAAGCACTACATAAACTGACTTCATCCTCTGAATAGCTGAATGACTTTGTGCTGTTTCAGGATGTTTGCACTGAAGTAAAACAGAAAGTTTCTCTGAAATTTGTAAAGTAAAACTGTATTACCTAGAAAACAGGATATTTAAATAAGCATTGATAAAACTTAGCATGGCTATACTGGTTTTAGTGTGAATAGCCATCAAATACAGTGACTTAGGGAGAGAGAGAGGAACCAAGGTCTAGATCCTCTGTATCGGCTTATAACATAATTTTAAAAGAGGTCCGGGTGGCCTAACTATAGGAGCTCAACTTTTGTTGTCTGACAAAAAAAATTGGGGCTCATTTATAATTATACCAATACATAAAATATTAGTTCTCTTCCATTGGTAATGATGCTGCCAGTTACTAAGAAAAGGAATTCTGGAGTTTTAACTTGGCAAATTAATATTAATTTTTGCATATAATCAATCCAACTAAATTTCCCAAAACTCGATATTGTTAACATCTTTGAAAGTCCATTTCACAAATTCAGTAGAGTACCCAGCTAAGAGCTTGGAATGAATGCCAATCTTAAGCATTTAAAATACTCTTTGCCATTTATAAAGACTTAAATTGTTAACCTTTTCTTTATAAACATTTTTGACCTTAAGATTTCAGAGAATTCCGGTTGATGAAGCACTTTATATAATGTCTTCAGCTTAAAATGTGTTTTAATTTAATATGCTTTGTTTTTATGTTTAAGTAGGCCAAGACTGAATTTTTTTTTTTCCTACTGGTGTTTGAAGCAAACTAGGTTAGAGGACTTGGGCAGTATCCACCAAAACAAAACACACCCCAGAATGTACATATTGATCTTAGTGAATATCAGTTACTATTTTAATATCTGCCAGTTCTGAGGTAGGTGGAACTTAGTTCTACATTGTGATTTAGGAATATTTTAAACCTCTTCCCACATGTTCTGTTCTGTTCAAGAGATAAGTGAGCCAGGCCTCCAGAGTTTAATGCTAAACCCACTTTCTCATTTATGCTATCTCTCAGCCACAGCGTTTGATGAGGCAGGGGCTAAAGACAGAAGCTAATAAGTTAGAAATCATTAGTGGTTAAGCACAGCTATCAAGTAAGTTTGAAGAAAATAGGTTTTGTTTTTCTGTCATTTACAGAAATCAGGCCAAGTTAAAATAGTTTGTAGAGATTATTGAAGAATAAAAGGTTAAGAAAAATTAGTATACATTTTCTGTTGAACTATAATTCTACTCATTATTCTCTCAGAATTCTGTTCACATTATACATCTTATACTTTTCCATTGTATTCTTGCCTAATACTTCTCAGAGTTCTTTCACATATATGGTCTTTGTGAGGAGAGCAGATGCTTTATTCTTATATATCCAGTTCTATTTTAGGCAAAACCAACATGAGATTGGTAGAATGACAGAATTGGAAGTATATGAGGAAAATTAGGCACAGAGAGACCTCACACTCACACTACAAGGTAATGGCATACCACCATTTAAGTTGGTCATCAAAGGCTGGTCCAAAGCAGCATTAGATTTATCTTGTTAAATGTCTGTCAAAAAATTTACATAACATTTTTCGTTTCCTCAAGTAGTCATGTTATTGTAATTGTTTAGTTGTAACTTTCCTCATAACAAATAGCAGTATTAGAAGATAGAACATTCTAGTGTGAAATTTGTACATGGAGAAGAGGTAGTTAGAAAACGTAATAGGAAATGAGCATGAAGAGTCATTTAAGAAATGATATCATATAAGCAAATTTCTCTGTTGAAACTTGTACAGAATATGGTGCAGTGAGTAAAAGCCTCCCGGCCACAAAAACACTTTAGATGAATGGATATGTGGTTACTGTGCAAAAATCCATTCAGGAAATTAACATTTGCCTCTTTGTGGACAAAACTAATTCACTGCTTCTGATACAGTTGCCCTCTTGTAGGACTAAAAAAAATTATAGCCAAGCATAAATGACATGTATTGCTATTATAATTTACTATTAGTTACCAGTATCTTTGGTATCCTACTTTCATCCCTCATAAAGGCACGATTCTGAGTAACTATTGGAAAAATAACTTCAAACCCATTAAAAATCTAAAAATTAAGCTTTTTTCTTAGTTTTAAACATGGATCAGCCAGCACTCAGGGACATACCCAACATATAAGTAGAAGCAGGAGGAAAAACAAAATCATTTACATGTTCCGTGTTCATATCTATTTCTACCTAGTTCGTTTAATTTCAACCTTATTCCTTGGTAACAGATTTTACACATGAAGTCATTCAATGACCCTAGCTTATTGTGAAGTTAAGGGCCAATTAAGTTGAAATACTTTTTAAATTTAAAATGGAACATCTAAAATAGCTTTTTAAATAGAAATCAAATTCTGAAAGACGTCTTTTTTTTCTGCCCAGGGTTAACCAGTTAATATCATGACATAAATGTAGAGGTAGAATAATTATATAGTGGAATTCCTTAAAATATTTCTGTAACTGGTATGTATTGACCAAGTGTAAATCAAGAAGGAGAGCTCTTCCATTCTGTTACACGGGCGTACCTCAAAGATATTGCAGGTTCCAGACTACCGCAATAAAACAAATATCGCAATAAAGCAGTTAGGAATTTTTGGATTTCCCAATACAAATAAAAGTTATGTTTACACTATACTGTAGTCCATTGTGCAATAGCGTTAATAGCGTCTAAAAAAAAATGTACATACCTTTTAAAAAATGCTAACCGTCACTTGAGCCTTCAGTGAGTTGTAATCGTTTTGCTGGTGGAGGGTCTTGCCTGGATGTTGATGAAAATGCAGTATCTCTGAGGTGCAGTAAAGAGAAGTGAAATAAAACAAAGTATTCCATATTCCATGTCATTCTCTTGTTTAAAAAACAAATTTCTGAATCATATAGTTGTTTCTATAATATTGAAATGGCTAAAATGTCCAAATAAGCTACATAAAACTTAAAGTTCAGTTGTTAAAAACTATTGGGGTAGCTTTCTGTTATAGGTCATGTTAGATTCTCTTGCCCAGGTAAGATTACTTTAAAAGCTTTTTTGCACTTTTCTGTAAATTAAGAGAATGTGGAGCCATAAAATGGCAGGGTATTTATATTTAGCCTAATGTTGGGCAGTTTCGTACATTTCAAAGAAGGTGTAAACTGCAAACCTACAGCCTAATTCTTTGGGCTGGTCCTTGGCAGCAGTTCCTTTTTAGACTGTTTATAAACAGAATTCAGATGTAGGTTGAAATGAAATTTTTCAAAAGCAAATGTAATATCTTTTGGACTAATATATTTTTTCATCATATGCTACTAGTATGTGCATTAGTATGATAGTCTGGTATACATTGCATTAAAAGAAAAAAGAGGCAGCTCTGGATGAGCTCTTCTGTTATCCACTTGTTCCAACATTTTTAAGAGCTTTTTATAGTCATTAGGTCGTTCAAACTGGTTGGTTTAACTTCATTACCCAGTTCTTTAATACAATCAATAGATCAAGATGAAAATGCATTTAAGGCCATGGCGATAAGATGTTCCAGACCTTTTATCCCTTAAACACAAGCTTTGGATGATAACTACATGTTTCAAATACTGTTAACATGAATACCAAAATGTGATGTATTAGAAATAAAGGAATATTTTAAAAGGTAGGTATTTGAAAATTCTTTAGTCTTGATGTATATGTATGTTGAATGATATACTCTAAAAATAAGTGTGCGATTTGCTAGTACTACAATACAGTGATTATTAGCATTAGGTATGTCTCCTCTTTATATCCTAGCTGTGTCCCATTTACCTGTAAGTGCAGTCCATTCAAGTTCACTTGCTGTTTTATCCCCACCTAATCTCTTATGGAAGGTTTGTCTAGAGAGTGTACTGTATGTATTTTTACCTTTGTAGCGCATTGCATGTGCTATTTGTAACCACAGCTGTTGTTTTAATGTTGACATAACTCTAAATGTTACCGTAAATGTTCTCATATATCAGCTTTGATCCTTTAAGTAAATTTAAGAAATAAATACTTGTTCAAATTTTTCGTGTGTAGTCACTACCATTTCATGTCATTACAAATAATAGTTGAGGTAACAATATTTTATCACTACTGGTGTTGGGTCTTCATATAAACTAAACTAGATGCTTTACGAGAGTTCTGTGGCTTTTTAAATGCTCATTTAGCACAATAGAAAATGATTTAGAAGAAAATACACTATCTCTGCCTTAATAACATAGAATGGACTTGGAGATGGCAATTCATTTACCAGTTTTTCAGATTTACTAAAATAAGTTCTAGAAGCCTACCTCTCAGTGGATTTTTCTCCTATAAATTGACAAGGGACCAACCAAGTACAGAGGTGCTGCACTCTAGAGTCTCCTCTTTGTCACTTAATAAGGCATAAAGCCCATTGATAGATACACAATAGATACACAGCACCTCAATGCTGCCCTGAGGTAGTTGAATAGTAGTATGTGTAACTAACTTAGTCAATTCCACCTGGAAGAAAATCAGAACTTTTAGATTTGCTTGTCTTAACATTGTGATTTATATCTAAAATATTCAGAATCAAAATCCATAAACCAAAAAGCAAGTTAACCTTCCCATTATATATATATATATATACTGAAGGATATAGAAATACATCTTGCCTGGGGCTGTGTTCTTTTGTTTAAAATCTATTTGGCTATGGCTCTTAGAGGCTCAGCCTGACTTTGTGATACCTCTTACCCAAATTTATATTATGGTTCTAGTCCATCCTGCTTCCAAAAAGATTACAGAGCTCCTTCAAAGCATTGTTTCCCTAGCCTAGAGGCAGAAAAATTTTTTTAACTTTCTTTTTAAAGTAATATACTCCTTCCATGCTTTCAAAATATAAAAATTAGTACAACAAACTGTGTACTCTTACATACACATGTTTAAAGTGTATCGACTGGACTTAAACTAGTTAGTACCAACAAAAGAAAGAGTAGGAGAAAAGGAGAGAACTGAGGTAGGTGAAAAACAGATAAACAGAGGGAAGCACAGGCCACCGAATCAAGGTAATAGCTCATGTCCCTGTCACCACTCACTCAGGTCAGCTCTTGGCTGACCTATAAAGTCCTTAGGCTATAGCTTAAAACAGTTCTATCTCCATTGGTTTCTCAACAGCTTAAAACAGTTCTATCTCTGTCGAGGGAAAAAAAAATCTACCTTTAAATTCAAAGTTAAACATTTATTTTTAAATTATAGTTATTTTCTCCCAACTGCCAAAGATTCTTAAAAGATGGGAAGGCATAGCTTAGTTTTAGAAATCTGGAAATTCAAAACCTGATTTTTTTTACATTTATTCCTTCTGACTATGGTTATGTCATTTCACATGTCAAGAAAGTATAGCTAGAATTGTCTAGCTATACTAGAATTCTCGAACATTTTCTAGTGAGAGTTATCCCCCACTTACATGGTTTTTACTTATGCATTTTATGAAATTGGAATCTTAACTGGGATAACATGGTGAGATATATAGTGGGAATTCTCACACAAAATTAAAAGGTGGGTGGGGGGGGGGAAGGGAGAACCCAACTCAGATCGAATGTTTCCCCAACTGCCTTATCAGCCAGGGGCTGTGGATGGTCCTTTCAAGCCAGAGCAGCCAGAGTAACAAGTGATCAGAAGTAGTTTATCTCCTAGAACACTTGTTCGAACAGTGAATGAAACCCACCTTTTGAATCAGTCTAGGCTGCCTTTGCTGGGATAATCTTCGCGATGGGTCTGAGATAAAACATAAGCATACATCTGGATCCTGTCCCTATAATAGGGAAGTTGTTTTCCCTTCAGGTTAGACTAGAGCCAGAAAAAGCCTGTTGACTAGCGATAGCTTTTAAATGAATTATTATAAATTTCTCTGGAATTGGTTCTATACATTTCCAGCAAAGGGATCATGCTTTTAAATGAATGGCCTAAAAGAGAATATTTAAGTAAAAAGATACTCAAAGGCACTGACAACAGAAAACATAATTCTGTAGAAGCATTCAAAGAATGAAAAGGTAGCCACTCTTAGTTAAAGTTCAAAGTTGATGTGGATTTTGCCTGTTGTTTAAACATAAACACTTGGGGTACCCAGCTTGCATCAGAACCTGAGAAAGGACCTATGAGAAAGATAATCTAAGTTCTATGTTTAGAATTGACTAGAAATACTCATGTTGCCAGAGTGAAAGGCTGTTTCCTGCATATCCAAGACATTCCCGGTCACCTGCTGGGGGCCACATGCTGGTGCAGGGTGCATAAAGATAAATACCATCTATGAAATGCTTACTTTAATTCATTAAATCCTTGAAAATTTATGAAGCAAACATCAGAACCATTTAGACTCAGGTCAGCCTATGACAACCTGGTTCATAATAGTTGACAAATAGAATGGAGTTCCAGCTCTAACCTGACTCCAGAGCCCATTTGTACCAACACTGTGAGTACCAGCTGTACCCAACTACTTTTAACAAAAACCTTGATGATTGGCATGCCCAAGACCAGTTTATAGAGTAATGCATTTCCTTTTTCCGGACCTTGCTAACTTTTCTTCCCGAGTTTCTTTCCCCTTCCTTGTCTCTGCCTCCACACTACCATCTAGTGGCCTCAAGCTTCCCTTCCCCAACTGCCTACTTCAAAGTACCCTGAGCCTTGAGCCCAGAGCAGTGTTTCTTAATCCGGATCCCTACTTATTCTCTCATCTGAGTTAGCTCTGAAGACTTCTCGCCCCCCAACATGTGCATTAGCTCTAATCACATATGGCAACACCTAAAATGGAGGTAAACGTGTCCTTTCCTGAGCAGAATGCATTTTAACACAACTCCTTCAGTCTCATTCTTTGGCCAAAGAAAAGATCCTCTAATGGTGGAATTGGGCACACTTGCAGCCAGTAACAAAAGGATCTAGGGACAGGGTACCTTTCTTGAGTGCTCACCATTGCACTCCTCCTTTGCCACGTGGTCTGCCCCAGACTTCTGGGGCTGGCTGCTGAGTGCACATACCCATCCCAGCCTGTTAGACAACCTCTGGGTCTTCTTCAATGTGGCTTTCAGCTGCTCCCTCCCATCTCCTGCCCACCCACTAGGGAGCAGCATAAAGGTCTGCTGCCGTCCAGCTACTTTCGTCCTGCTGTGCCTCTCTTTCCAGCTTCATATAGACGCTTCTCCAGATACACATGCTTTAGTTCCCGGAACAGACTATGCTGCTGCTCATCTCCCAGCCTATAACAGTTTCCTCTCCTAAAATGTTCTGGCCAAAATCCCTTGTTTCGCTGGAAAATTCTTACCTATTCACCGAGAACAGACTCAGATCCTCCTGGGTGAGACCTTCCACTGTCCTCCTCTCCCCTTCCCTTGTCCCTGGCAGCTTTCACAGCACTTGGTGTATATATAAGTGCCTGGTAAATCTTGCTTATAGGAAGAAATGGATGGATGAATAGATAGAACAAATTTTTTAATTTGTTAATAAATTATTTTATTTTTAGCATGTGTCTCAGGTTTCATTTGACCCAGAGTTTCATAGTGCCGTGAGCAGTCATAAATTTGCTCTCTTCTCTACCTCCAACTTGAAAGTATTTCCTGATTCTCATCCCCACCCCACCCCCATTAATGGCAAAAGCTTTTTTTAGTGCAACATATACACTCAGTGAGTCAAAAAAATAATAATTCCAAAAAAAATTAAAGCCAGGATGGATCCTTACAGATCATCTTATTCAATCTCCTCATCCTGTAGACAAGGAAAATGAGAAGACAGATCAGTGAACTTTCCAAAAAATTCAACTGGGAGGGCAGATTACAAAAGAAAAAGAAGACAGCCCTGCCCTCAGAAGTTATTGTCTGGAAGGAAGATGAAATAGACACTTAGAATCTGGCTTAGCTTTTAAAAAGTACACATCACAAATAAATACAGGCCACACAAACCAGGCTCTGAGTTACTTCTGGGCTTAAATATAAGGCAGCCCCAAATACAGTGATAACCCAATTTCTCATGAAGATCCTAAAGAAAAATTTTTGGACAACTTAGATGTCAATTTTAGAGATGCTGATTAAATGGTCAGATGTCTATCTGTAGTACATATTTTAAGTCAGACTATGTAGAATACAGGAACATAAAATATTTTTTTCACTGATACTTCATAAAATAATTCTATCCAAATCTTCACATGCCCTTGGACAACAGGGTCTCTCCTTGTCATCACCAGATCCCCATTCTGAATCAGCACAGTTTTCCACAGCTCATCTCTGTCACTTCCATCTAGCTGTTCGAGACTCAGCATGATAAAGCTGTCGTTGGAACCAGTATTCCAACCCATAAGTATCTGCATATCACTTGTATGCAGTGAAATCCAATATATTTAATAATGAGATCATACCACGGGTATAATTACTAAATCTTTGTTTTTTGCCTTTGGCTCTCCTTATTTTGTCTCTTCTTCTGGTGATCTCCACATGCCTCCCAAACTAGTATGAATGAGGTCATTTTGGTGAATGGGTTCTTTCCCAAACAGAACTCTGATTTTCAAACTAAGTAAGGGAGAACATGTAATATGAGAAACTGTGAGGATTACTATTACAGGACTTTTCAGGGAAATGATTTTGGGGAAAACACTCATTTTATATTCAGGCAAAAAGCTGTTTTCATCAGGCATGTCTTCCTGGAAGAAAATTTTCTGTGGAATTTTGAAGAAGTGATGGGTTTGGCCTAGTGAAAAGAAGAGGAACCAGTCAGCATGTGCTAACTGTTCTCAAATTAATGTTGCCTCAGTTTTCTGGATCAGACTAAACTATAATATTTTTGTCACGTGAGATTTAAATTTCAGAATTGGGCAAAAGGATTTTTGTTGACCTCTCTGAGCAAGGCCCAGACATTACCTGCCCTGCTCCTCCCCTTGCCCCAATGTGTGATTCCCTCGAGCAATCAAAGATCCTACCCCTCGTCCCCCACCCCATTGCCATAGCTCCATTACTCTCAGCAGAACCACAGTCGGATTGATCTGCCCTCTAGTCAAGTACTAGCGGGAGGTAGTCCTGTACTTTTTC